CCTTTGGACCCAAAGGCAGCTCGATCAGAGACAGCCTGGTCTTCGAAGACTGTATCTAGAGCCAGCGTTTGTTTAGAGTTTGCGAGGAATAAAATATCCCCCTCACCTTATATCTGATGATGATAACCTGTAAGCATTGGGAAGGATCATAGTAGATTGTCATTTGTTACCCACATTGTGCACTTGGCGACATCACAACCACATCGAGATAACAAGGCGCTGCGCTATGATCACATGACATCGTTGGGGCATCGGCAGCTTTGATCCAACGCAGTCCGGCCATATAAAGCTTGATCTGACTTAGGCATTCATGTGGAAATTGTCAACGAAGAAAAAACAATCAAAGGGTACATAGGGCAGGCAAAATTGTAGTGCATTATAATTAATACACAACTAGATAGTGGTGGAGACTTTTAACAACTCAATATTCCCTTGTCACGACTGTTGGGTGTTGCAACCTGTCCCGTTGTGACGATAAGCCGGCAGGTAGTTGCAGCGAGACTGTCACCATTGTGCATTTGGCAGGTTCTATCCAACTTACTCCGGGTATTTAAAGCTTTCTCATTTGGAGTACAATTATGACAGATTTTATACGCATTTTATTTTAGATAATGCTTTGTCAATCTTTATCTTTTTCGCGTCGGATCCCTGATGTCTGACTTCAATTATAGTTTTTCAAAATGCCAAGTGGACTTTGTAAAATTCAACGCGATGGAGATCACGTGGGCAAAATCAGACGGTGCAGTATGTACTAGTATATAGATTATCGCGTCTTCTTGCCGAAAATGTTTGTTGAGTTTTTGACATATAAGATGAGATCTTAGTGTAGAATATTGGCACGTCTGACTTCAATTATAGTTTTTCAAAATGTCAAGTGGACTTGTAAAATTCAACGCGATGGAGATCACGTGGGCAAAATCAGACGGTGCAGTATGTACTAGTATATAGATCGACATGCAAATAAAACCGCGCACAACAGTGGCGGCGGGCAGGTGGACGATGCACCAGTCCTAAAATGGCCGAGCTATTGAAACCGAGCAGCAACGGCAGCGGGAGGCGGGCAGGTGTGTGATGCATCAGTCCTAAAACTGACCAAGCTATTGAAACCGCGCAGAAACGGGGGTGGCGGGAGGCGGGCAGGTGCATGATGCATCAGTCCTAAAACTGACCAAGCTATTGAAACCGCGCAGAAACGGCGGTGGCGGGAGGCGGGCAGGTGCATGATGCATCAGTCCTAAAACTGACCAAGCTATTGAAACCGCGCAGAAACGGCGGTGGCGGGAGGCGGGCAGGTGCATGATGCATCAGTCCTAAAACTGACTAAGCTTGCAGGTGCATGATCGGGAGGTGGGCAGTGATGCATCGAATGAATGCATCATGCCAGTGGGTGCAATATAGGGTGATGCATGCACGGTTATGGGTGATGCATCAGTAATCGTGCATGCATCGCCCTATATTGCTGTGATGCATCAGTATTTGCGGCGCTACAGTTGCAGCACAAATGCATCACCACTACCGTTGCAATCACAGCAATTTATTGCATCACTACGACAAGGACGCCTGCAAAAAGACCTCGGAGGGATATCCAATAAGGCACAAGCTTAAGGTGGCTTGCGACAATATATGCAGTTGTTAATTATAATGCAGGCGCATATATCCTAGCTTACGCCTACACGTCGGGACTCGGCACAGCTTGAAGCTCGAAGTAAAGTATGAATCAAATGATTTGAATTCATGTCCATGATGAAGTCATGAATACGGCGGGATCCCGCTATTAGAAATAATGCAAGTAGACCATCGACCGTAACCCCGTCCCAACCGCTTCAATACTTGATATTTCCACAAATCCAGTTCAATGTCCATCGTCGTTTTCGCCCATCATGCATCATGGATGATACGGAGGAATTCAAGTCCTCCCTTCACTTGATCCATGTCCAATGATACCACTGGAAGCTCCGGAAGCAAGTCCAACCCCGGGGCACTCATTGGGGCAGCAATGCCCACAATCCTCATCGCCGGTCTCATGCAAACCGGGCAAAGAGCGCGAGAACCGTATGCTGAACAAACTGAGCAAACGGCGTGGTTGCAAGGACGAATACTACGAAGTAAACCAGTAAGCAATCGACTTCATCCGTGTGATCGCAGAAATGGTTTGCAATACATACATACAATCTAACATATTTTTTCGGCATTGGCATTTCTGCAAAGGGATGTATGTGCCAGGCTCGTACATGATGTTTGACCCCACGTCCAAGATCTGATCCATCTCAGATACGGTCTTGACCTTCTTAAACTTGTAATATCCATGGATGTCTGTCGGCAATTCATTGAAGACATCAAAGAAGGGAAGTCCTGCTGCAGCATACGTTTTGATGTCAACTGGGGTCGGAGGTGCCATCATCTTGGTGATGTCTTCGAATCGTGCTGCGTTCATGACTTGTACATTGACAATCCCTGCCCTCTCAACGTCCCAGATACGTGGGTTGTTGGGGTCTTTTACGATGACCTGCTTGATCGTTCCCCCAGTGCCGAAACCCATCGGTAGCGCCAAATCCCAACCCTTCACCAAGCCCCCACCCCCTCTCAGTGTCAAGATCACGAAGACTCTTGATTCCTCTTGAATATTGTAGTCTAAAAGCGTCTGGTCTTCTTCAAGTTCTTTTCCAGCAAAATATATCCATTGAATGGACTTCGGAAATCCTTCCTTCTCTTGCAGACGGGATTTGAGAATGTTTATAGTATCAGAATTCTCTGCAAATACAATTATCTTCTTTCCCGTCAAAGTGGAGATTGTGATCCGCATGCTTCCACTGGCAATAGGGAATGGATCGACTCTCAGGTTGGTCATCGTCAATTCGGAGCCGAGGGAAAGTCCAAGCTCGCGGGGAGTACAATAGATATCCCTGCCCTCAAACCTTACCGAACGATGATGGTAAGGCGGAATTACCTCGAATTGTATGCCACCTATCGTCTCCGATCCTGTGATCTGATTCACTCAGTCAGACATTGCTAATGACAAAGACGGCAAGGTTCACCTGATACTCAACCGAAAAACCTGATCCATAAGGAACAGCAACAAATTGCTTAACCATACCCGGACCAGTCGCAATGCCATCGATCCAATGCTGTTCAGGTACGACGATGTAGTCCTGATTTTTGTCGACGCCAATAGCCATGTTCGGAATTTTAGGCTCACCAGTGATGGCATTGATACCACCAACATATATCCGAATAGCAAATTCCGACCTGCATCTGAACTGCAACCACATTGCTTCTCGTTCTATGCCCGCGGCAACGTATGATTGAGAAAGTCACAATCAGAAATGACTAAACTTACGGTACATTGGAAAGAACCAACCGCCCTTCTCTACCATATCTTGTGGAAGGGCGCGAGAGAATTCGGCAACTTTGTAAAGTGGGAAGTTCCCAAGTCCAGGTGGAAGATTGTTTGAACGTCCAGTTTCAGGTACACGGATTGTGCGCCGGAAAAAAATTGCAACGTCATCGATGCGGAGGATTTGGAGGCTGCGATCACCACATGGATCTTCAATGAATGATGCTAGTTTGGGGAGTCGAGGCAGACAATGGTTGAAGAAGGAAATGAGTGACTCGTCCTGGTTCATTTGGAGGTCATTTAGATCATATGATGATTTGCTGGAGGTCAACTTGACGAGCGAATTCCTCAACATGGTTGGAACTTAGGATAAGCAGATAAGAACTTAGCGCTGGCGAAGCGCTGAGGGCTGGGCCTGAGGCTCGACTGGGTTTGAAATTTCTTTCTGCGTAACCCACAACAGCGTAGCAATCCGGTAGAATTCTTGAGCGAGACATCTGCAAGTGTGTCATTGAATGAGACGGTAATGATGATAAATCAATCAGGCTATCACCATGTCATTCATCGGCATTTGTTTTACCGCTATTGTCACCTCTGCGGTTTGTGCTCTCACCTTACACCACTACATTAGCACATTCACTCTGATTTCATAGTATCAGTAACAACTAGTGCGATCCCAAGCACTACAGGAGCTCCCGCAGTACCAGTGTGCAACTTTTCATGCCATTTCTTCTCGATGGAACTTATATGCGATGTAACTTGAGCTGAACATTGTATACTTTCAGCGGGCTTCGAACTCTAGAAGTGCGACAAATACCACCTTCCTCTTCTCCTATGCACGGTACACTGGTTACTCGATGATTCCCACCATTCTCAACGCTAGTTGGATCAGTCGTGGATTTGAGAAGAACGTCGGACTTGGGCTCCATTCTGCACCAGCGTTCCCTGCCATACATGCGATCATCGTATCAAGCAAAGACGAACTTGTGGCCTCTGAACAGTGAAAACGCAACATCAACATCGACACACCCTGCCCTCTCTTGTTCGAACCTTGTACCAGACCCCCCTCGTTCTCCATCGTGCAGCCCAGCAGCAGCAGAGCCTATGGCAGTCCTTGGACCGAAAGTCATTCTATGGTTGGAGGTCCTGTCGTAAGCATTCTGTGGGTGACCGGGGAGGACATAAGTCTGTTTTCTTCGGGAGAGGTTGACTCTTCCTGTTCTATTTCCGGTGCCGTTCCCAAGACCAAGCCCAGACCTCTCCATCCTATTGTGGCGATGAGCAAACAAGGATGAAGGCTTGTCGACACTCAAGCCTCCCTTCAGGCTGAAAAAGAGGTGGCGGTGATAACGGCGACAAAGGTGGGTTGGGTCATGAGGGGTGCTTGTGGTTGGGGGAGGGCTACACGTGGGAGTCCTTGAATTGTGCTGGTGGTGGTAGCGGAGGTTTGGGTGAGCGTGGTTGCCGCCAAAATGCACTAAGACTGACAGGTGAAACCCCTGGGGGAAGAGATTGCGTTTGAGAGCCTTGCGAAAGATATCCTACATACCAAACTCCTAATACATAGGCAGGGTTGAAGACTTGAAGTTCAGGTATCGATGCGGGTTTGCAATTAAATGAGAATAGATAAGTAGAAGGTATCACTGTAGCCCGGAGGACTCACTGCAGCAAAAATCCTTCACTCCAAGTCATTTGTTGTGGGTCGAGACTCGAGAGCTCGAGAGGGGCGGAGCCCAGCGTTAACATTGTGGAAGTGACGTTATGATTAAATGAGTAAATTTCAAGGGCGAATTGCTGTCGCCGTAGAACATCATTCCATTCTGGTTCATCGGCTTCGGTATGGCTGGCAGCAAGATACAGAGTCATGAGATGGTGCTTGCAAAACTAAAGTTTGCTTCCGCTAAGCGACTTTGTTCACACGTCTCGCATTTCAACCTACCCCACTGGTGTGCCATCGACGAATCACTCAGGATGTGCAATTCTGGATGTTGTCGTGCAAGAAGACCAAATCTTCAACGATGTTCACAAGCCACTCAAATTCCTACTTTGGAGTTGGAGTTTGCTCAATGGTTGACGTAACAATGGATTCAGAGAACATCCATGGGCACTAGTGATGTTCCGGCCCGGCTTGGCCCAAAAGCCACGGCTTTGGCCTGGCTTCAGACGGCTCTGGCCTGCAAAAGATCCAAGCCGGGCCAAAGCCGCAAATGACGGCTGGCTTTGGCCTGGCTCTGGCCTGAGCCGCGGCTCGAGTAGGGAATTTGCAATTCTGACAAGACTCACCTGCCAGTGCGCGCCTCAGAATGCAAATCGCGACGATTCACGCTTCGGGCGCAAAATGCTGACGGACGGATTCAGATGGGCTCGCGTTTCCTCATGTGTTTCTTTCGCTGCGTGAGAGAGGAGCTGTCCAGAGTACTGTGTGCGACGGCTGGTACACGGGCCCTGCTGGGGTTGTTCAACTTGATTCAATTTGGCACGAGTCCGTTCGACCTAGCCAAGCAGACCATTCCGAATTTGTGCGCCAACGTTGAAAAAACTATCAAGGTAAGACTGGCGCAAGCAGTAATTAGTAATTGTAATGTGACGTTGAGTTGTATTGACCACGCGGATCACAAGAAGCACAGACCGACTTGTAAGTTGTGTGTGTTGGTCCTCGTTTGTTTGTTTCGAAGTTCAGCATGTGTTATAACTTATTACGAACCAAATTATATACCAAAATTTGGTGTCAAAATGTTCATTGTCGTTGTCGATGGTAGAGGCTAGGAGCCGCGGCTCAGGCCGTCGGCTTTGGCTTTTCAGAATTCCAAGCCGGGCCAAAGCCCTGGTCAGGCCGTCAGTTTGGCCTGGCTTGGCCCGGCCTAATTTGGCCCGGCTTGGCTCGGCCCACGGCTTGAAGCCGGGCCATGCACATCACTAATGGGCACATCATGATTACGGTAAGCCGTGTTTATTTTTTTCTGGCTCTGACGCCATACTTGATTGAATATGAAGTGCACAGTTGGCAACTACTTACCAATCCTTCTGCTGGTCCCTCGCTGGTAGAAATATGACCACGAGGGTGATCCCTGAGCGCTTTACTAGTAGCGCACATTATCTGGTGACTGATCTCCGTGTTCTTACAATTCCGCATGCGCTTAACGTCTCTTTACCCACTACAATCAAACAAAAGGCTTTATTGCCTGTCTGCATGTCACTTCCCTCTCAGGCTCATGTTTTTCATCCCTCATGGGAGCACGGAAAACTCGCTTATCTGCTCTTGTTTGGAGTTCAGCTCAACTGTCTCGGGGATTTTTTATCTATATGGTTTTCCAGGGTCTTGTTTCGACAGGAGCCATGAAGAAACGAATCATGTTAACCCAAGTGTCGACTCCCTTTTCAATGGCTGGTGCGTGTCTTATCTTTGCTTGCTCCCTCACGCTAGCTCATTGTCTCCTGTTTTCTTAACCGACGACAACTCTGGCATGTTTCTTTGGTTCAAGCACGGAGCCTTCTTGCTCTTGGCTCAATGTGCGCAGCTTCTGCTTTGATAATGAACCAATTGCTGGAGCTTCGAGCGTGCCAGCCAGTTAGCCCTCATGTCACTGTCATGACTTGTAGTCACATGTACGCAAGGTCATGTTCTGGGCCCTCACGGAGTCATGCGATCACGCTAGCAAGATTCTGCTCCCCGTTCTCTTCACCGGCGAATATATTGGCGCGCTAATTTGGCTCTGTATTCAGCTCACGTATCACATTCGAAGATACTCATCGAGACCTGCCACCTTCCACCTGCGCCGTAAGCAGAAAATGAAGCTTCTGAGGAGCGCGCTAAACTCGGCCCAAAATCAGGACTTGCATCAAGTCGCATGTGGATACCTGGTTGGAGATATTTTACCATGCATCTTTCTGAAACTTGAAGACTTAATTATAAGAATCAGAAAAGACAGTCACTGTGCCGTTATGGTGAGGGGGTCACGTGTCATAATTGAACATCTCAACCCCTTATTTTTTCTCTTGACATCCGTGGCCACTAGCTTGCAGTACCCACTACGACACTTGATGAATGAAATTCCGATCCGCCTCATCCGCCTATCAGACATGAAGTTTGTCGGCCGTATTGATGTGAAGAAGTGTTTCCGGAGCTCTGTGTATTCAAGTCTGGAATATCATAGTCCCTCCGACCAGATCCGGAACGCTATTCTGTCTCGCCGATGGCTGGATGAGGGAAAGCCCACATATGAAGAGATGAAGGCAGGTACAGCGGCGGGACCAGGATACAAGAAGCTGCAGGCATTCTGTCAAGACGCAGAGGAGTACGGCGTGGAATTTGCGTGATGTGTCGTCAGCTGACCGCCATCCATGGTAGGAACCAACAGGCCTTTCATTTACTGTTCTTGCCTGTGGACCCTCACCTGAATTGAATGGACTTATCGATATATGGAGGTTAGTTACTGAAAATTATAAGAGGAACAAGAGAACGTTGTAATACTCGCCAAATGCAGTTTCACCGCCTACCCACTTTGCGACGATGGTGTGATGGCCGTGTCTATCGTGAGTGTAAACGGTATCTTTCAAGCTCAAGAACACTCACCTCCCGTACTAGTTGGAGCAGCTGTGCTGATGCAGTCTGTCAAAAATGGATCTCCGAATTTCGGAAACATTTCGGACCAAAGGAAGGAGAAGACGAACCAAGGAATGAAGAAGCACTGGGATCAACTTGAATGACAAAAGCACACGCCGGACTCCGAAAGAAGGTGAGGGCCGGACGAGAACCAAATGTAGCTGGAACACCGTGATTTATCATCCAAAAGAAGCCAGGAAGCGGTTCTGAGCAACTGGATGAGGTGATGTATTATTGATACATCATTCTGGACAATGGGTCAGTAATCCACTGGATGTATCGCATGTTTGGGATTATAAGCCATTTCTGACGTATCATTCTAGCGTTATTGGCTGCCAGTGCTATGTACCGGTGTCTTTCATGATTCATCAAATACTAGAAGTTAGCACCTTGGATCGGCTCGCACACTTCGTGGATCCGTGATTCAATCCTTGGCGTATATCAGAATAACACCACGTGGACTTAGCACCGGCGACAAATTTAATGCCTCTGCCAGATACATTTATAATAGCTGCCGGGGCCCAGGTATGCGGGTAGCTGTAAAACACAGCATCGGAGAAGTTTACTTTAAAACCCGCCTGCTGAAGTTCTCTCGCTCATAAAACTTGATGAGTACCGCTCTATATATCGACGCTGACATTCAGGCATCCAAGGTGTGTAGCACGCGAAGTTTCCGATACGTCTCATTGACTTCTGGTCCACCTACATACTAATAGTACTGCAATGGTTTGTGATCTTATCAGAAATTTTTCGAGTGCTGTCTTTTGACTGAATTAATCCAGTTGGAACATTTGCTGTTTTAGTGAGTGCTTTGATTTTCCCTCTTGGGACCATGTACATGACACTAACACACCACTTACATAGGTTTTTGATTATTGCATTACTCTAGAAGCAGAGGTGTGTGCATTCCGCTAATCACAGAATCCTTCAATGACTGCTAGAAAGTCTCAGTGGGTCTGGCACAGGAAATGGACGTTTGTGCGCTTTATATTCACCATATCCCGATACTTGCCATTTGTCGGCATTGGGATGACGTTCGCTGGTGAGCCCCAAATGTTTAAACAGTGACTTTTGGGGAAAACTGCTCATGGAAGACCGGTAGCTGCGCTCAGAACACAATATTATCCTGGTGAAAGTGTGAGTTATGAAATCCTTTATACGCCCAAAACATTCATGAAAAGCTTGTAGTGTGTTGGGTATGGAATGGCGTCCAATGGTTAGTGTGCACAACCGACTGTATTTTAATTCACTCATTCATCCTTTGCTCAGCGTTACACATTATATCCATTGTAGCTGCAGAGGGCATGTGATGTCCTGACTCCTCATCAAGTCCATAATATTAACGTCTTTCTCCCTAGGATTGTTAATAATGAGGATTCATGCTTCATGGAACAGCAAGCGTCTTTTGAGATCCTTACTGGTATTTACCGTAGTAAGTTTCTGGCTTGCCTTTCACGCGAAGACCTGATGTCAAACTAGGATGATCAGATATGCGTGGTCAGCTCTTATATCCTTTCGGAAACTAGCCTAGTACATATCACAATCCAGACTAAATACCCCAACACATTCATAGGTTAGTGTGCTGGTCTTCATCAAGTGACAATTGTGTTCATGACGAGCAGCGGATCCAGGATCCTGCGAATTCATGGGTGGGAGAAATTTTTCCTTTAACTATGTTATATTGTTGTTCTATGAACTGGGTTAGTCGTCTCATCTCTCGAGATTCCTGATTCTTGCACTTACGTACCAGTCAGTTCTCTTCTGCTTGATGCTGTTCATCAGGATCACACGGTACAAGCATACTGTCGGACGGCTCCAACGAACATTTTTCAAGGATACGATGAAATATATGATTGGCATCATTTGTGAGATGATTTTATTTGTCAGTGCTTGCCCGCTGACTTCCTGAACACAATCAAGTCATGTCGTCACTCAGTATATTCTTTGCTATATTTCCCCCGGTGTGTTGTAGTACGCCCGGCTTTGCGTTCATGCACTGATTTTTGGGCACAGCCAACATTGGGTTCTATGACAGACTCGTGAGTACATCAATTAGCGACCTCGCACTAATATGTGCCCTAATATAACATACATCAAGTTCGCAGATTGTTATTCACAGTGTCCTAGCTTCTCGAATACTGTTCAACCTACGAGAAAGTGAAGGGCGCTCGGGAACACAGCCTGAGGTGGACATTTCCGAGATTCAGTTCGAAGGAGGTCAGCTCTCGACATTGAGATTCGGGGATCCTTGAAGATTTTGTGTGTAGTGTAGGGCTGGCCCCAGTATGTATGCTTCCATTGTTAAATATTTAGGGCTACTGGGTTTTGCATGACCGCATTATGGTTGCTAGAAGGAGCTATAAGGAGCAGGACGGTGTGACAATCTTACCGCGAGGATCCTTCTAACTGGAGTCTGCCAACACGATCTTGGATACTATTCATGCACCTGATGCTCAGATAGTCATGCATGATATTATTGTAACTAGAGTACAGACTCCATGCATGTTTCACTGCCATCCTAGTCGTGTAACTAAGGCTTATCATGCATGATGGTTATGGCTACGCAATCTATGAAATCTTCAAATCTATACCTGGTGGCGCGCCACGGCGGCAATCCTCGCTCGTTGTGCATGACAGCGAGCATATCAGCCGTTTTCAAGTTGGGGTGAGAAAACAGACAATACCAGTGTGAGTCGCGGTAGTGTATACTCGTAGTTCGCCAGATTGTGTCGCCAGCCTATCTCCGATGATGCACTGATCATTCAGAACGGGAGGGACTCCAGAAATGTGCATTATACTTTGTAGTGCGACTCGGCATTTGATAGCCGGCGGCGTGAACGCCTATGCCCGGAAAATTGCAACATATATCCGGGTAAGAAACACGCTTTGTGAGAACAGAATATGAAACACCTATACTTACCGCTTCGATGCAATTGCTGTACATGATGTCACGTTATCGCGTGTGTCTATCAAAGTGGTTGTTTTTCGCATTCGTAAGTGCAACCAGGTACTTTGATTGATCGCGAAGTGAGGTACTACAGATGGCGATGATGTGCATCAAGGAGGTGACAGGCGGCGCGATGTTGGATGCCTGGAGGGATGATACCGAACATTGTATGCCAGAATTCTCTAGGCTGATCTGAATGTTTGTTTCAGAACAACATGCTCATGAAACATACGTTGCACAGAATCGACGATAATGAGGTCTCCTGATCTGCGTTCTGAGCTTGAACACGTCGAGAATCCGTGATAGTAAATGCGACGCCGGCGGTTCCTCCCTACATGAAGGACAAGTAAGAAATAACAACCAATTTCTGGATCGGCTTTGATCCGCATTGGTAGGACAACATGCATGCCTGCAGAGTGACCATACCGGAGGTCACAGGTGGTATCATGTGAGACTCGAAGGAGGAGGATGCAGCGTGTGCGGTGATGCAAAGTGCAGCGATACGGTAACTGGATGTGCATGCGATCGTGCTTATTCCGTCGGAGGTTGACCGACGGTCATGCATCTAATGTTGGGTGGAAACACTAGGAGCTAGGCAAGTCGTATACCTAACAGTTGTGAGTGACCGTGAGTCTCGGTGTCAGTGATCAAAACTCAAAATTCAAGGTATGGAGCAGGAACAGTAGAATTTTTCCACGCCCTTGGCGTAGACTGACGTGTCGGTCACCGCGCCCAGGTTTCAAATCCCAACACACCCACCCAAAACATGAAGGTTAGTTTCATTATGTTCTGGTTTCAATACTAGATACTCAATCTACCAGCGACTCCACTGATCGATAAGACACTGCTCAGATGATCATTACCTGCCAGCTATTATTAGAATGAACGGCTGCCCTCCTTCGTCTATGAAGGTCTAGCTAGGGGAGACTATGGGACATTGTACTCATTTATGATTAAACAAGGTATCGTCCTATCTGGATCCTATCAGTTTCGTGCCAGAAGATACCCCTATCGTGTGTGCTCAGTTACGATTCTTTGTGCTGTGTTCAGAGGGGGAGAAACGCCATATCAGATGAGCTCCTGAAAAGGTGAGGCTCGGAGTCTAATTCTTTGCAATGAGGCTGTGACCAACACTATGACACAGTTCCTCGCCATCAACCATCATGATACAAAAAGAGATCCGACACCAAGGGCCCTCGGGGAGGACAGAGTGGTGCAATTCCTGATCCGACGATCTACCAAGGTGTTTACATATAACGATATACGTGGAATTGACAGAGATTCCTGCACTTCGCGCATCTCTCTTCGCCATGTCTTCTGCAACAGGTATCCCGTCTGACACTGCTGCTCTACTGTCAGCACTGTTGGAAGGCATTCTATACGGTGAGTATTGTAATGGGTTAGTCCATGACATGGTCACCTAGAGTTCTCCAGGCTTTTCGGTGCTTATGTTTATGGGTACCATCTGGGCTTTGACATACAACCATCGCATACAGGACGTGAATCGTCCAATCACTGTAGTGGCCATCCTGCTGTTGATGTTGAGTACTGCGGTCAGCTTCTTACCTTTTAACATCCGATATCATCTACTGATATCTCCCAAGCACATCGTCGTGAACATTGTTCGTGTCCAAGATGGATTGATAAAGTATCGTGACACGTTTCCAGGCGGGCCGGTAGCATTCTTCGGAGACGTTTCCCAAGAAACGTATGTGATCAAGCATGCGTTATACATCATCCAAACTCTACTTGCTGATGGGGTAGTTGTGGGTTCATATTTCTATCCGCCGGCGTAAGGCCCTCTGAACTTACCCTATCTGGTAAAGATATATCGCTGCTATGTTGTTTGGCAAACAGTCTGGGTTATCATCCTACCAAGTGTTCTGTGGTGTAGTGTCGCAGGTGAGGTTTGTATCATGCTCAAGAAGTTGTGCTCTGACGTTGTTTCGTAGTGACCGGTGTCAATGCTGTCTACAGCTTTTCGCAAGCCAGCAGAAATCCCACAGACATCTTCACCACGGTGGTCGCAGACTGGGTCACGACATTCATAATCTCGACACTATCCACTAATCTGTTGAGTTCAGGTTAGTACGTTTCTGGGTGAATGCGGTATCGAGAGGCCCTAATTCAATGTATTCAGGATTACTGGCATATCGCATCTGTATGATCGAACGCACTGTTTGTACAGTTCGTACTGTGAAGGGCTCAATTATGCCAATAGCGCGCGTACTTGTTGATGCCGCTGCTTTGTACTCTGTGACACTCCTCGCCAGACTAATATGTTTCGTCTACAACAACAATGGACAGGAGGTTGTGGTAGACATGGTAATTCCGTTATTAACACCTATAATTGAAAAATATTGAGCTTCAATCAACTAGGTCATGCCGATCATATCGATTGCATTCTACATGGTGCTTGTTCGCATCGCAGTCAATGAACAAACTCGCAGTTACCGCTCGATCATCCCAAGACGGGCAAACAATGAACAAGGAGACTTGCGGCGATATCCTAGTGTGTAATGATTCAACCTAAATGTCGTACTATTTTGAGTGGAGATTGGATGAATATTGATATGCTGGAAATGCGAAATATACAGGATGTTATCTGTTCGCGGGGAAATGTGGAATACGGATATTTCTTTGGGATTGGACGGTTGTCCGTATGCTGGGAAACGTGGAATGCGACACCCTACAAAGAAGGGTAGAGGATTCCCGTATTAGATATCATTCTCAAAACGTCGATAAGACGATGCAATCAACTTGAAAAGAAAGGTAGAGAGGTTTGGAGCATTCACTCCAGCGTAAATTTCGGGTTTGATTCAACTTCCCTGTTCTACATCCAGAACAAAATTTATGTGAAGTCTGAATGTACTACATACCATTTACTAATGATGGAGGTGCTTGATGCAACATGCGTGACAAAGTACTGTTGGATCGTTTGGCAAGACTCGAAGAGCGCTCGTACCACTGCAGTAATGGTCAATGATACTTAGCCGCCTCATAATGCTTTCGACCAAATACGCAATCACCCTGGAGCTATATCGTGGGAGTAAATTTGAAAGCTTACTCAATACATACTAAGTATCATACTACCGTATTTCATCTTCTAGTATTGGCCGAGTGGACTGACCAGGATGGTGGCCACTGTCGTCCCTGCACAAGTTTCCCTGTTGGCGAGCTAGAGCGGCTGCGTGACACGAGACGTTTGAAACTCGCTGGTTCTGAAGTATTCCCGCATCTGCATGGCAAGCGACGCACGGTGTGCACGCCACGTAAAAACGCTGAAGGCGGGTGCTTCCTTCTATTTTGTGCGAGCTTCTAAATTAAAATAATGTTCACTCCTCAGGATGTACTCACCAAATGCATATCTGTCCGCCTCGCATTACCGCAGCCCGCTATCTAAACAATTCTGCGTGTCGACTATGTCTGGTCCGATCTTCAACCAATCCACAACACCCACACATATAGAAGAAAGCACGAGGCTTCTTGCTCTGCTTCGCACTGCATGTGTGGTTTTCCTCAAAGGCAGCGGATGGTGTATGTCTGATAGCAACGGGCAGTGGGAAAGCCGCTTTAAACATCACCTTGTGCAAAACTTCTGCAATTACATTTACACACGTCCGAGGCTTCTAATTTTGAAGTGAATGTTTCAGAGACCGGCTGAAACCGGACACGGTAAGTTCTTGTATCATTTCAAAGCTCAGATCTCAGGGTGGGTGACGAGCCGCCAAGTTTGCAATGTCATGAGATGTTAAACGGCTTTGGGGCAAAAAGCTTGTTGCCGGTCCCTTGGAGCTTACGGATCGGCTACCAAAGCCACTCCACAGGCAACCCATATATTCTGTTGGTGCACTTTGACCTATGATGCAGCTATTGCGCGATACAATGAGTGAGTTCAAAATCTAATCTTGACTTCTGCTCACCTTTCTTCCAGAAATTCGACTGTTCCTCCTGCTGCTCGCGTCTCTCCAAGGAGCGTACGCAGTGAACTTTACAGATTGTTTTATCAACTTCAGAAATCATGCGAATCAGACACTCAATGCGTCTGGATTAGTGGATGCCCATGGCGGAAATATAGCAAACACGTCGTCGGAGATATCAAATGCAGTTGCATTCACCTATGACGCGTGTCTTTCGCAGTGTGGTTCTGGAATACAGAAGCCCACTTGGGCAAACATTTCGCAGCAGTTCAGCGCCTGGCTACTACCCTACCTTGCGCTCATTTCTCAGTTACCTTTCGGTGCAAGACACAGAGTTGACAACCTTATGTCGGCCGTCCTCACAGTCGGTTCACCGGTGCTCGCCGGTTACTCGATGATTCTCACCATTCTCAACGCTAGGTGGATCAGTCGTCGGTTTGAGACTGTGTCCTTCCCCAATGCTAGAGACGCTGCCCGGATCCTTATTAGCCTTCAACAAACTCCACTGAAAATAACGAATGAAGACTCGCTACTCAGTTCCCTCGTTGTCCTGCCGGAGAATGATGACTGGTGGCCGACAATCGCCGACTTTCTCGACTACACTCTCACCTGGTCCATCGCATCTGCTACATCCATTGCTTGGGTCGTCGTTGCATACATATTGACTGTCGTTGGCTCACTATCGGACGTTAACGCCAATCTCAACACCAACGGTCAAGGGACGGGGTCGGTTTGGTTGTGGCTTATACCAATCGTTATAGGTTGGCTGCAGTTGTCCCCAAAGTGCGACTATGTACGCATTAAACGGGCCATGGACAACGCAGATGCAATGGCATTTGTAGCTACCCATAATGGAGTCAAAAAGGCGTCAGCCCTTTCCGAAAGACGGGCAATATCTATTGATTCCACATTAGAACAGCCTTCGTCTCCTGACGAAGATTCATCCCCACCCGTCTACAACTATGCCAGGGCCATTCCGTGGTCTCGGTCCGCGGAGGATGTCTTCGATGCTTTCAGAATGGCCTCCAACAATTTCAGAGCGCATAGACCTGTCAGGACGGGTGATACATGGAAGAACGCAGACAGGAGGAATATTATTGAGCCCTGCAACAGGTCTGGAAACCCGTCCGAAGTCAATGCTTATTGCAGACTTCCTCGATACGCAGCACCTCGATACGGAGTACGGAACCCCTGGGCATCAGGGATATTCTTCCGTATGTTCGTAGCGTCGCTCCTACCCTTAGCTTTGCAGTGGGCAACAACTGGAGCTGCAGTGCTGGTGGTGTATTTTACTCCAACTGTGGTAAGCTTCGTTTGATGCAGATAAACGAACCTGTCGCTGACAAGTGGGACATGACAGGGCCTTGGTTGCAGATCTCTTGGTTACATCATCTACGGCGCACTGGCTACGATGGTGTGGGCGATGCTCATCATGTCGAGCATCATCTCACACTATACATATTCATACTCGGGTAGATCCAGCTGGAGTCCCTTCTTTTCTATCGCTATGCGTCTCGCAAAGATCCTATCGAACCTTTTGAGGCGGGGTGGGAAATTCGTGGCAATCGTCAATTCAATCTGGGTTGTCACTGGCGCTATGCTACAGTTTACAGATGTCTACGATAATTGTTACTGCAACTCGAGCGTGTTGGGTAGAGGGGCCCAGTATGGATATGACATCGTTATAACCGCTAATTTAGACTTAGGTTTAACAAAAGCTGCTTGGTGGGGCGCATTGGCTTTGGCTTGCTCTACTTCCTTAGGATTTATTTTTTTGATGAGTTTGTTGACTGACCGTGTACCTACCTGATGTCTCTGAAGTTTTGGCCGATACACATATAGCTATATTTGATGATTAGGATACCTGTAGGATTGCGTATAGCGATGTTTATTGGAGAGGAACGTCCATCGTGGTAAAAGTAGTCTCAAGAAAAGATGATTGTCGGATCTGACATTGGAGTCTGGACCAACAAATTCTAAAGTCGAACGTTTCGCCAAGAAGGTCTTGCTCTGTCACATAGGCCTGTCACCTGGACAGGCAAGCGGGATCCTGAAATACTCAGCAGTTGTCAAGATCAGAAGGGAAAATACAGAATTGGAAGGACAGACTTGTGCGACGCGCGCGCGACGTCTAAGTGATGCGACGCAACTAGTAAGTGCTCGACGCCCGGTTTGGTAATATGCCAATAGTAATACACCACTAGTTCATCAAACTAGCCTGGGGTGGAGGCTGAAAAGGTAGCGTGGACTGTTGGCAAATTGATAGTGTGTACACTGGAAATACAAAGGCGCATTCTCAATTGCATGGAGAACATGGTATTCGATGTAGGTCTATGAGCACATGCGGTTCGCGGGAAAGAAATGGTGCATATATTCGGCCTTTCGCGTAGATTTGTCTGAACGTCTCGGACCGATGTATGAGATGAGATGAGACGGGGGGAGCACAGGTGAACGCCACTGACCAATTTACCATTCCTCACATGCCGGAGAAAGCACTTGTTATCGATCATGATCATGACCATTCTGATGTTGAACGATTAGGTCTACCAAGGTACAGGTGACTAGAGTCATCATAACGTCATTCGGACTAGATTGACCACCGTAGCTACGGTCAGGTGAGTATAATGCAGGTCATTGTCTATGATAGAACTTCGGAACGCACCTCCGCACTGTACTACTAGAAGCTCAACTGATCAATTGATGATTGAACAGCTCCGTGACGAATTGTATCGGTGTTTGTACCATCTCGATTTTCTTTCGGATTTACTACTTGTCCGAGGTGAGCAAGGATCTCGCTGCATGTGAGACGTTAGCTCACAACTGATGTTTCGGATCATTTGCAATGGTTCGTCATAATCGATGCAAACCACTTGTCGGTCATGGAGGCCCGTCGATACTCATGCAGGTGCGTTGTGTGCTACATCATTTTCTCGCACAAATGTATTGCGGTTTGCGCCTAGCGACCGTGAGGGTTGGACGCCTGGCCAGGCAATCTACACACATTCGACCACTGTTAAATCATGGGGACATGTCACTGGTCAGTACTTATTCATACGAGCCTCCATTTTTCCTTGCCAGTCACGGAGCCGACGTCGAGCATGCTGCCTACTCGGACCCGAACTGTCAGCGAGCCCGCACTTTTGGACCGGGTTCATAAAATACCGAGCCCAGAGTCTATCCATATGCTGTTAGCCTCCATTTCCCTGCCAGTAGCAGAGCCGACGAACGACTACAATTACCCCAACCATAGTTCATTTCAAGACATAAAAGCAAGCCGTTTTCCCTACCGTGCACCACCTCACAGCGATTCGAGAACCCCTCGTCCAGAACCCGTATCACCTCATATAACCAATGCGTTCCTTCTTCCTCGCCGTCGTGGCTGTTTTGACAGCATCTTTGTCTGTCAGTGCCACACCAGCTGTTTTCGGCAGAGCACCGCAATGTGTCCAGGATGGTGGCTATTGCAACACCGCCAGCGACTGCTGCTCTAAAGATTGTTATGTGAGTATGAGGAGTTTGCTTTGGATCAATCCATTGACTCGCCCTGTGCGCCTTGCGACAGAACGATGTTACAGAGACACCGTATTGCAAATCTTCTTGAGGGTTCTCAAGGCTCGCACGTAGTGAGAGTGAGTTCGTATTTCTGCTTTCATATATTCACTGTCATTTACAACGCAATTCTTAGTTGACTGCTGGGGTGATGGTTGTCCTTGGACAAAGTCCATTGCAGCGGGGACCCTTGAACAGAACGATTGTGACACAATATAATAACACCATACGACTGACTGAACGAAGTGTTGCAGCCTCGATGGTCGTAAACTTGGGAACCATAAGTCATAAGTCAGACAGAATCCTGGCACGTCAGGACTCAGCTGAAAGGATCGTAGTTGATTCAGCGTGTACGATGGAAGGCACCCGTTTTTACATCACTTGTGTAAGCCGAGCTCGGCTTACTACGTCATAGAACACACGACGTCACTCCTCTTCTAATGCTCTGATGCGTCGCTGATAGCTGATTGGACACCGTCGATCTACTGATCACTATATATACCGTGCTGTGTACATACCTACGGATCATCTCCTTTCCGTACTTCTCAATCACACTCTCTTCCACGTTATTGTTGTCTGATCTTAGTGTTGCCGTCGACGTACGGCCTTCCACTTTTTTTTAACGTTGAAGTCGAGCATATCGACTACTGCACTGTTCATCCACCGACCCTCCGTGCCGCCGATTTGACCTCACGGTCTTATCAAAAGAAAAAAAAACTACCGTACCGATTGTTAGGGCATTGACTCAGGTCAGCCCGATACCGCACATACAAGCTGCCTCCTCGCCGCGCCCGTAGCGTACCTCCTACGACTGTCACCACACGCAGTCGTAGCAAGGGTGGTACAACACCGCCGACCGCAGACACGACTCCACACGTCCCATCCGTAACCTCTGATCGACCTCCGTCTCCAACCCCAACGGATAGATCCTCCTCATCTGAATCCACTACTCCTGAGCGCGTGCCTCACATAATGTCAACGACGACAAAAACAGCACGCGTTGAGCAGTCGTCAGCAAGCAAGCCACCATTCCTGACCGCTGGCGAAATCACACCCGAGGCGCTACGCGCCTGGGAAATGGGATGCCTCCAGTTTTTCCTTCACAAGGAAATAAAGGATGCGGATAAGGTGAAGAAAGTGGCGTGGGGCATGCAGGACCCAATTGTTCAAGACTGGTATCTCAACAACCAGAATGACCTTGACGCACTCACCTTCAAGGAATACATCGCAACCGTTCGAGAGTACTGGCTGCCTACCGATTGGTCTGACGCTGTTCGCCGCAAGATGCTCGCGTCCACCCAGGGTCAACGACCGTTCTCCGAGTGGGCCATTGACATACAGAGTCAGAACACCCTGCTGCGCGACACGAAATCACATCTCGATGACGTCAATATCCTATACCACCTCGAGAGTCACATGAATTCCGACTTAGCCGCAGATTACTACGCAGAGAAAATAGAGGAACCTGACTTACGCAAGTGGATAGAAAAGGTACGGTTGCTGGATGACAAACGTCTTCGTTACTTCGCCCGTCAGAAAGGTGCTGTCGAAGCTGCCTTGCGCGCGGAACGCGCCCGCAACGGAACGGACAAAACAAGTAACGACAGACGTCCATTCTCAAAGGCACCGACCAAGACCACCACCAGTACATCCTCGACTACGTCTTCCAAGAATTTCGTTCGCCTTCCTCCACTGACTGACGCAGAACGACAACTTCTCCGTGATAATGACGGATGCTTCAAGTGTCGGGAACCGTTCGCTGGCCATGGTTCTGCGACATGCCAGAAGGGTTTCCCAGATGGCTCTACGTACAAGACGATAACCGCGACTACTATTGCTGCGAAGAAGGGTAGGAAGGGTACAGGCGTCATAGCGGCAGTTGATGTAGGGGACAGCGAAACGGAAACTATAGCCGTCGTGATGCCATCTGCTGCGCTAGGGAATGGTACCGACTCCGGCGAAGAGTGCGTGGCTCCGCTACAAACCCCTCACCTTCGCTGGAACTGTCTTATTGACGGACCTGCGGTTACTTCTCCTATATCCGTATCTGCACTTATTGACCATGGTTCCTCCCTAGTTCTGATTGGTGAAGATATTGTCACGAAGCTTGGACTACGCCGCCGCAAACTTTCAAAACCGTTACCCATTTCTCTCGCATTGTCTCAAGACAAAGAACCAACTCTACTTTCGCACTACGTCAAACTCTCTTGTACTTCATTGGACCACGCCTTTACGTCTCGAACTGTACGAGCCATAGTCGCACCTAATCTTTGTACGCCGCTATTACTTGGTGGCCCCTTTCTTCAACACAATCGGATTATAATCGACCATGAACTACGTACGTGCGTGGCTAAGGGTGCTAACTATGATCTATTACAAGGACTACCGGCCACACCACCTCCTAAGAAACAGCGAGCGTCAATGTCAGGACCGGAGTTGTTTTGGACCAAACGCAAGATCGTTGCCGAACTCAAATGTGTCCTGCCGGAGTTGAAAAAGATCATTGATGACGAATGTGAGAAGGTAACTGGCACCGACGTCGTGGCGGCGGTGCAATCAAAGATCGATCAGATCACATTTCAAGAGAAGTTGAAGGGCCTCGATCGCAAATTAAAGGCCGAATTTGCAGAACGCTTCCCAGCCGACATTCCGCACAACGATACAATGCCAAGTGACGTTCTATTTCGTATAAACCTTAAGGACGCTAACAAAATAGTACAACAACGTTCCTACGACTGCCCCAAGAAGTATAGAGCCGCATGGAAGACCCTCCTAGACTCTCACTTACAGAGTGGACGACTCCGTCCATCAGATAGTGAATGGTCCTCCCCGTCCTTCATCATACCCAAAGCGGACCCGAATGTTCTACCCCGCTGGGTGAACGATTTCCGACACTTAAACCTTAATACCGTGCCGGACAACCATCCACTACCAAGAATAGATGAGATTCTCAAAGACTGCGCCAAAGGAAAGTTCTTCGGCAAGATAGATATGACTAACGCGTTTTTTCAGACACGCGTACACCCACATGACATGAAGTATCTGGCTGTCCATACCCCGTTTGGTAAGTTTGAGTGGACCGTTATGCCGATGGGGGTTCGTAACGCACCTGCGGTCCACCAACGACGGATGATGACAGCCTTACGACACCTAATTGGAAAAATCTGCCATGTGTATTTAGACGACATCATCATATGGTCCCAATCCCTCGAAGAACACGAAACGAATGTACGCCTCGTATTGCTCGCACTACAAGAAGCG